CTGGACCCCCTGGCACCCTAGTGCCTGGCACAATCACAGTAGGTGCCCAATGCGCAGGTTTGCTGGTGCACACGGCCATCACTATCTGTGTCCCACCAGAGTGGGAAAGAATATTTACCAGCCAAATATCTAAATAGTCCTGGGATATTCTGGCCATTTAATCCAAATGAGCAAACATATCAAGAAAAAGCAGCTTCCAGGGCTGCAGACCAAATGGCACAGAAATGAACTGGGTGGCTGATAGGAGCGGGGCTAGTGCATCAAGGGGTCCTTCTGCCCTAGGGACCAGCAGGGAGGGGCTTTGACCCTCTGGGGACGAAGGGAGGGAGTGTGGGGCAGTACAAAGAGCACTGAACTGTGCGAGGTCCTGCTCCGCATCTCACCAGCAAGTCTCCTCCCTTCTCTGGGCCTCGGCTTCCCCACCTGTGCAATGGCACAACTAAACTAAATCCGTGTTTGCATATCATTGGTGTGACAGCGCAAGATGATTTTAGACAGTTCACACATGAATTTTTTTAACTTCATTTTAAAATAGTTTCAAATTTAATGTGTATCAGAAAAATAAGTGCATCAAAGCTATAATTTTCAAGGATTCTGCTTAAGATGGGGCAAAAGAAGTTTCTTGATTTTTAAAAGTGAGTTGATCCAAGAAATGATTATGTTAAAATGGAAATGTGGTAGTGATTTATGAATCTTTACATGTGAAAAAATTTCCTAGAACAGTACACGCAACAACAAAAAAATGAGTGCAGGTAAAAATGGATGAAATCCCAATAAGGCTTACAGTCCACAGTACTGTGTGAGTGTCAGTTTCCTGGCTTCGACGATGTACTACAGTTATGTTAGATGTTGTCACTGGGGGAAGCTGGCAGAAGCGTAGACCAAAGGTACTCCATACTACTTTTGTAACTTCCTGTGAGTCTAAAATTATTTTAAAATCAATGTAAAAAAATGGAAATGGTCAAAAGCATGGGTGAATACCTAGATGACTAAGGACTGGAAATACTGGACTACAGGCTTCCTTGGACAGCTCTCCTGACAGTCGCTGTGGAAGACACGCCAGGTTCTCTAGGGCGGACCATGTGTCCCCAGGCGCTTCCCCCATCCTGCCAACTTCGCACTCAGCTAGCTACTTTATTTGTGATTGGCCACTCAAGCAGTTTCAGAATTTTCTCTCTCTCTCCATCAGTTAACACTTTCCAAAGGAAACACGTTTGCTGGAGAGATGGACTTGGGTTTCCTAGTCTGAGCTCAGCTCCCCAGTGAGCAGGTCTGAGGCTCATGTGACCACAGGTGTTACCATGGCTGTGCCTCTGGAGACCGGGTGTACCTGAGAAGCAAACATGTTCTGGAAACTGAGCTTCAGCTTCCCGTTGGCCCTCAGAACCCTTGAGTGGCTGAGAGTTCTTCCAGTCCAGGTCCGAAAAGTCTTTGCCTCCGTGAGGTGCAGAAGGGAAAACTGAGGCACAACCAGGACGGCAGGGCTTTGCCTAAGGTCACACAGTGAACTGGGGGACAGTCAGGCCTGGAACCCAGAATGAGAGTTTCGGGGCTGCAGGGACACCTGGCCCTGAGGAGGAGGGGCTGGGGGGGAAGACTCTGTGGCCCACGTGGGCGACCATCTCAGAGGCTGTGATGCCACCTCGAACTCTGGCTGCCCGCAGCTCAGGACCTGTGCTGAGGCCCCCCACAGTTCCCAGAGACTCGGAATTGTCACTGCCGCAAGAGTCCCTTGGAGGCCAGTCCTACAACCGGCTTTCCACAAATGGGGAAATGACAAAAGGAAGGGGCTTGTTCGAGACCCTCGGGCCAGCCGGCGACAGGGTGGCCCGGGTAGCCTGTGCCGTTTCCGCACCACCCCCCAACCCCCGCCCCGGGGCCGGTCGAGGCGTCTTCAGCTCGAGGACCCCTTGGGGGTCACAGAGACCCAGGGCTCAGACACCCCGATTCCCAGCTGCGGGTCCTCGCCGCGCACCCCGACACCGCCGTGGAGGCTCCCCCGACGGAGCCG